ACCTTGAAAGAAAGGCCTGCAACTTACTTCTGAAATATCAGCCATTGAAAACTCTGTGGAGCACAGTTCTACTCTGACACACACATGGGGTTGCCATGAGTCTGGGTTGACTCCACGGTAACTGGTTTGCAGAATTAAAAGTGGAAAAATTGGGATTTGAGCAGTAGTCTGTCTTGAGATTGCACTCTTTCTGTGGCACAAACTGTCTTCCACAGGACCCCACGCTGTGGATAAAGACATGAGTACTTCTACTATATGCTTCTGTTAAAAGAAAAAAAAAAATCACTATTTTTTTTTTTGCTGATTTTATTCAAGCACATAACATTCATATATCCGCACCAACCCAAACAGAAAGTGACTGAGAGCTCCACCCAGGAATAGGAGGGGAGTGCTTTTGGTAAGCAAACCCAGAATTGAAGCATGTTAACATGCGATTGGTTGGAACCAAGTGTTTAACCTTTCAGGACCTGGGCACTGAATTATGTAAGATTAGCTGAGTTGGCAGCATCTGACTGGTTAGCCTAAAGTTTCCTTTTGCTTGCAAAAAGAGTCTTCGGTAAAGAGCCCCTTTAGTCTAATGCCGTCTTTTGTATTTCTTAATCACTTCATGTATTCAGTGTTTTTTAAAAAAATTTTATTGTGCTTTAGGTGAAAGTTTACAGTGCAAATTAGTTTCTCATTCAAAAATTTATACACAAATTGTTTTATGCCATTGGTTGCCATCCCTGCATTGTGTCAGCACTCTCCTCCTTTCCCTCTACACCCTGGTTTCTCTGTGTCTGTTTCTCCAGTGTTCCTGTCCTTTCCTGCCTTCTTGTCTTTGCTTTGTGGCAGATTTGATTGAACTAAGAAGCACATTCCTCACATGTGTTATTGTTTGTTTTATAGGGCTGTTTAATCTTTGGCTGAAAGGTGGACTTTAGGAGTGGTTCAGTTCTGAGTTAGCAGGGTGTCCTGGGGCCATAGTCTCAAGGGTTCCTCCAGTCTCCGTAACCTGTCCAGCATTTGTTATTTTCTGTT